GTATTTTATTGAGTCTTTTAGATTTTCACGCTTCGAGGGTTTACACTTCAGTCCTGCCCTTTTCATGCATGCAAACACTTCGTCCAGTCGCTCGATATGGTCCTCAAGGGTAGATGTCGCGATCACCACGTCATCCACGTAACACATCACCAATTTGCCATACTTCTTCGTCACACTCGTTAGTGCCTGCGCCATCAGTCGCTGAACAGTAGCTGTCGGGTTGCAGAGGCCAAAGGGCATCCTCTTCCATTGGAACAACCCCAGCTCGCAAGCAAACCCTGTTTTGTCCCTATCTTGTTTCCTAAGTGGCACCTGTCAAAAGGCCGACCTCAGATCAAGAGTTGTAAAAAAAATTTGCATCCCCCAATTTTGAAAGGCTCTCAGGCTCTCCTTCACGGTGACGGAGTTCAGATATCGAAAGCCACAACAAAATCTTACTTGGTCTCCTTTCTGTTTGGCCATCACTACTCCACACGCCCACGGTGATTTGGATGGTTCTATCGTATCATACTCTAGTAAGGTCTCTATTTCTTTAATAAATGCATCAAATTTGTTTGGCGTCATACGCCTCGCCCCCTCCCTATGCGATACTGCCGACTCTTTTTATTCTATCTCATGTTCAACGAAATTACAGCACCCGATGCCCAGGGTAAGTCTCGAAAAACCTTCCTGATTTCTATCTAGCACGTCCTTGATGGCTTCGAGCTGTTCGTTCGTTACGTTCCCCCTTAAGTTTTCAGTTTCTGGCAACACCGGTTTATCCATTTCCAATTCCTCTGGAGTGGGTCTTTCTGGAAAATTTGAACAGCTCGAAATTCCATCGTCCGTTTCTGACTTTAACGTTTAATCAGGTCTTGTGAATTCACTTAAGTCAGAAACGGACGATGGAATTTCGAGCTGTTCAATTTTCTAGAAAGACCCCAACCAGAGGAATTTGAAATGAATACACCGGTGTTGCCAAACATTGAACATTTAAGGGGGAAAGTAACAGACGAACAGCTCGAAGCCATCAATGACGTGCTAGATAGAAGTCAGGAGGGCTTTTCGAGACATAAAGCGGACATCGGTCTAAATTTCAAAACTTTCAGTTGTTTGGAGGCCATAATTTTTTTTCCAAACTATGGCCATAATTTTTTTCCAAACTTTTTTCCAATCTACTCAATCTACTATTTCAATTGAACCTAAAACCCATGTAGTTCATGAGGAAGGGTAGTTCTCGAGGAAAAAAAATCAAAAAACTTCAAAAAATGTTCAAAAAATAAAAAACAATGGACTAATCCGAGGGCCATTTTTTCCCAATCCATTCTATTCATAGAAACCAAAATTTCATATTTGGCAGAATAATTTTGGAGAAAACGAAAAAAAAAATTAAAATATCGGTCAAATTTCCCCCACAGACTTTTTCGAAGAATGTAGACAACAAGGTAAAGCAAAAAGAGACCAGGGTAGTATGCAGACACCCAAGAATGTAGTTGGTTTTTCTATAGATACCCCTTTTTGAAAATCGGTAGGAAAAATTTTAACTATTTTTTTTTGCAAAAAGTGATTTTGTTTTCCAAACATCTCAAAAACCCAATCCCTTACACTTTCTTAGTACCGTTTTTATCAAACAGGAAATCTAGGCAGCTATGCCAAGAACATTTTTCGAAATTCAAATAAGCTACTGAAAAAAAATCAAAAATCTTCGAAACGGAAAGACGGTCAAAAATTTTGATCAGACACCAGTTGAGCCGAAAAAGAACTGATTGTGTAAAAAAGTTTTCTAAAGTTTCAATTTCACGTGAAACTACCCAGTAGTAACTAGTACCCACCCCGTAGTTTAACTTGAACTTTTTTGAAATTCAGCATCGATAATATGGTCATAAGTATAGAGGCTAATGGTCATAAGTAATTCAATTGTTTTTGTTAACCTAGTTGTTAACCCCAAAAAAGTCTATATTCCGATTTGATAACGCTTGCTAATTTCAAGCGGTAAAATTTACCGATCAAAAAATCAAAACAATATTCAGTCTAGATAAGAAACTGATTTGAAAAGGTTCTAAAGTTTTCGCAAGATTGCTATCAAGTCTCCAACTGAAACTCTCTCAGAAAAAACCACTGGTTAGTGCCATCCAATTGTTTAATTATAGCATCCAGAGAATTTAGCATCCAGTCTAAAAGCGCTTCCTTCGTAAAATTTTAGCATCCAGAGAAGCGCTTAGATGAATAACTTTATCGTGAACGATCAACAACTTCATAAAGCTTTGAAAAAACTCAAATGGATAATTGCAGTCTAAAAGGTTAAAACATTTAAAAACCCAATATTTTTTTATTGTACTTTGATTTTTTCGTTTAGAAGTTATCTGCTGGCGAAGCGATAGAGTACTAAAACCTGGATCACAGTTCTGTTTCTTGACGAAGAAGAAAAACGAAAAAGAAGTTATTTATCTCAATCAATTGTTAAGAAAGTATTACGGAAACGCCGTCTTTATTTCAAATCCAACAAAATTCAGAGAAACTATTGATACTCTTTCCCTAGCAAGAACAAACACAATCAGGTCAAAGACACTCTGAAACCAATAAGTAAAATCAAAGCATGTAATTATAGATACTCAAATGCGAAAACTTTGCACAAAAGCAAAAAAAAATTGCAACTTAAAAGCGACCAGAAAAAAAACAAATAAAATGAAAATTGTTCCATCAAATTGAGAGAAAAGAAATTGCTGTAACAACACTTATTCGCTTGGTTGGAGTAAAAACAAAAGAAAACAAGCATAAACGGTTATTGCGCAAGTCGCACAGAATGATCCAATCATAGTCTTTAAAAGACTATATGAATGTAGTTATTTCTGCGTGGTATGTTAAAAAGATCTGAAAAATAGGCGTTTTTGATATTCATAGTAATATAAGCAAAATGGATAAAAATTTTTGAAAAAATGACAAAAAAGACAAAAAAATATATACTGAAAAATTTGTTTTAAATGTTTTTAGTGTTTTGAATTGGATAATGATTTCAAAAAAGCTGAAACAATAATTTTATTCCAGTAAAAATAAATTTTCACGATTTAAATTGAGCTATCATAAACTATTAACCTATCAAAATAAGCTTTTGTAAGACTGCTCGCTCGCTTTATTTGCTCAAAATAAGACTGAAAAACTTAGACCTGTTTTTATCGTTCATTAGGTGGCCAAACTGTGCACTGGGTGGACGCACAATTTTGTGTCTGTATGTACGTGGATTCCAACAACTAATCTTTTAACATTTTTCAAAAAATAAGTGGATTCCACATTTAAAATTTCCGTGGACTCCGCGTACAAATAACTGCAACATAAATTTTGTCGGCACATTTGATGTGTCGCGGATTCCGCAACAAGCGAATATAGCTAGTTATTCTGGATTCCGCAATTGTAAGTGGTTTCCTCAAATTAAAAGGGGATTCCGAATTTTGTTTATTACTGTACTTGCATATGAACAATTAAAAATTATAGCTGGAACTCTTATCTTTAGCAATGCGGATTTTAAAAGCAAGGACTTAAACATTGTCAGCGGAATCCACGAACAAAGCATTGGTTAACTAAATCGGTGGATGTCAGCTTTTAGTATTTGGGATACATATAACAAACGAATAACTTCATTAGTTGTATTCGATGGGTTGAAAGTGTTCAGAAACACAACGCACAGCATATCGCCGATTTGTCAGTATATGGGATTACATCGTTCTCAAATACTGGTCAGTTTTTGGTGTTGATGGAATCCCAAATACTGGATTAATTTGGAATAAATATGGGAGAAACTCATTATTAGGAGTCATTGGGTTGAGTCATTAGTAACACACGGCACAGCATATCGCCGAATTAGGTCAGTATTTGGGATTCCATCAATCCCAAATACTGGTCAGTATTTAGGATTCCATCAATCCCAAATACTGAAGCTGGCTGTTTGACAGGAATTGAGATCGAACGTTAGACATTTCAACAGGTAGCTGATCAACGTAGTAATTTAGTTATGGAGATTGAACTTTCTGGTGACCACCTAGTAATTAAAAGTTATAACGCGGGTTCCTCTTACAATAAAAATAGGAGTTATAAAAAAAAGCGGGTTCCTCTTACAATTTACGGATTCCACTTACAATTTGCGGAATCCACTTGCAATTTGCGGATTCCGCTTGTAGTTGCGGATTCCGCAACAGCTCAATTTAACTAAAAACAAGTCTTATTATTTGTTTGTTGATTTCCGCAAACTGTTCCGGATTGCGCAAATACGGTTGCGGATTCCACAAATTCGCCTTTTTTTGGAGCAATTTTGAGCGGTACAGTCTTAAAGGTATTTGTCTGTGGAATCCAAAACAGTACAGAAGATCAAAAAAAAGTAGCAATGTTGCGGATTCCGCGACAAATCTGATTTTGGCCTGTTGTGAAATCCGCTTACAATGCACAGAATGCACATTTTGTCCTCGTAATGTCAGTGGGACAACTTTTTTCAAAAGTTTTAATGTCGTTCGATTCACGCTTTAATATGATACATCACCCAACATAGTCCGATGATTATCTGATTATGCGTCGAAAACAAAAAAAAAAACAAAAATACACCAAATTACAAAGTTCCTCCAAGTTTTTTCAAATGGCCGGGTTAATAATTTCGATAAGCTTCAAACTGGTCAACGTGAAATCAAGACTTCAGTAAAAATCTCTCACTGAATTTTTCATGATGACTAATTTGATTTAATTTTGCAAGTTTTTTTCTTTTGTTTTTATATTTTCTCGTTTCTTCAGCAACGACGTGCGTTTTACCAATTTATGTTACAAGAAAGAGAAATTAGTTTTCATGCACAAGCTCGTTTGAAAAACACAGTTATAGAAAACCTGCATCAACTTAAAGAAGCCGTGCAAAACTGCAAAACTTGAGCTCAGTTGAGTAATAAATCAAACCTTGCAAAAAAAAGCTCAAAGCGCAAAAAAGCTCAGTACTATTCAATTATTCTCAATTTCAATTTAATTGCAAAACTTTAATTGCTAATCCCATGGCTCATTACCGAGTGGGAAAAGAGTTTTACGAGAAGCTTGCAGTCCCCGGAATGCCTTCTCCGACTGTAAACAAATACAGCGAACATTGCCAAAAACAGCACATGCCTTCAAAAGTCAAAGTGCTTCCCAAGAAAAGCTTGGTCAAGGCTATTGAATTAGCCCTTCAAAAAGGCGGAGATGTTTCCAAAAATACTGATATTCTCGCAATGTGTGAAGAGATAGACGTTTCGAAGTTGAATGAGAAAAACCTCTGCTGTATTAGTCACCGATGGTGCACTTCAGAAGTTGAAGTGGACTTGTTCGCCGAAAAGTTTGCACAATTTCTCAAAAACACTTACTTGTGCGCTGATGACACTTGCTTTGAAGAGAAAGCGTTTTTCGAACATGCTTCAAATTGGTGGAGCTTCATGGGAAAACTAGTCGAACTGATTTTTGACAAAGAAGGAGAAAATGAAGAGTTCTTGAAGTACTTGTTAGACAGAACCACACTCTTTGGGTTCCAAGAGACTAAAACGGAAGAGGGATTGGAAGCTGACAACGCTGACGATCTACAAGAGGTTAATTGATTTGAATGGTTTAATTGTAACTCCTAATTGTCAATACTTTCATCATTCTTTTTAAACTAATTTTTCTTCCTGATTTTTAGTACTAGCTTTTGTCATATATTTTAATCCGGTATTAGTTAAAAAGTGATTTAAATTGAGAACATGCAAGTACTTTTTGCTGAACGGAAAATAAATTGAAGTCTTACTCAGTAGCGGATTTAGGGGGGGGGGGGTGGACGCCTTGCCCTCAGGGATTCGAACCCCTGCCGACTCAAAGGGTCCCCCTTTGTACTGTTTTGAGATATCCATATTTGATGACGGACCCTAAAAATTGTCTAAAGACGCCCTTGGCGCCAATATATACTATTTTTGAGGGGCAGCGTGCGCCAAAAAAAAACGCGCGATTTCTTTGTCAAAATTTTCCAAAAAGTGCCAAAAAACGGCTATTTTGACCTGTTTTTTCAAAAATTTGAAAATTTAAATTTGGTCAAGTTAAATAAGAAATCAATTTGGTTTGGTCGACCTAAAAAAAGGTCGTCAAAATTTTTGAAAAAAATTTTGAAAATCCGCCCCCCTCGAGAAAATCTTAGATCCACGCCTGGTCTTACTAATATTTTAAGTTTTTTGTGCGGTTCCTTTAAATGACAAGGAACATAATTTTCTGCTGTCTTTTTTCAGATGATGTCAGCTCTTCTGAATGGGAAATCCATGCTTCAGATGGACACATCCTCAATCACAGAATCTTTTCTTGGAGATGTAGCTCTGGAAAAGATTAGGAGTTATCTTATATTTGCTTTGCCACAAGGCGCCACTCCTCAAATCAAGCAAAACGACATAGCCCAAATGATCAAAAAGATCAAAGAGCAGAAAACAGATTTTCAGATGTCGAAACCTGAGAAACTCTTCGCACAGATAGCTGATGTCGTTCGAAAAACTTTGGATGACTTTTCGATTGTGCAAAAAGTGAAGGACAATGTTCAGTTCCAAAGATTCACAGAGTGTCTGAACTATGTTCAGCAATTGAAGACGTTGAAAAATAAGTCGAACAAGTTCAACGGACAAGACCCGATGGCGATGGTGACACTCATGATGTTGCAGAACAGTGCCTTCGAGTACTTCTGGGTAGATGTATTTTGCACTCCTCAACGCAAAGAGGACATCAAAGAAACTCTGAAGGTTATTCTCTCCCGTTCTTTTGTTATATCCTTTTTTTGATTTCAATCTTTGAAAATATAATAAGTGCTGTCTCTAATCTATTTGTAACTAACATTCTGATATCTCTAACTAGACTATGAGTAGGTACCGTTGATTTGGAAGTTTTTCTGAAGGCGGTTTTAGTGCCAACATATACTAATTCTGAAGTCTGGCGCGCAGAGAAAAACGCAAGCTTTTGGCCAAACTTTTCAAGAAAACCTAAGACAAAAACGTTGTTTTGACCTGTCTGTGGCGGCATAGAAAAATTTGACACAGTTAAGTCGTTATATCGTTTTTGCAGGGTTGGCACCAGGCACGGATCTAGGAACTTCTCGAGGGGGGGGGGGGGGGGACTTTCGAAAACAATAGAAAATTTTGTCGACCTTTTTTTAGGTCAACCAAATTGATTTTCTGAGCTATAAAGACCCAGTTTTGACCAAATTTCTGCGCCGCAGTCAAATTTTTGTAAATAAAAGGCCAAAAAAAAGCGTTTTTAGGCACTTTTTGGAAATTTTCTACCAAAAAACCGCGTTTTTTTGGCGCGCGCTGCACCCCCCTCCCCCTCAAAATTAGTAAAGAATGGCGCCGAAGGTGAGTCAGCCAAAAACCGAAATCTCAAATGAGTACAAAGGAGGGACGCTTTGGGTCGGCAGGACTCAATAACATGTTACAATAATAAAAACTCCAATTGTTTTCAAGGAAATACAAAACGAGTAAAAACGAACATTTTGCTTTTCGGAAACACATAAAAATTTATAATCTTCGAAATATAAATTTTTATTTCACTGTCTTTTGCCAGCGCTCAATTTTAATCCATTTTAATTGGATTACTTTAGGCCGTGAAAGATGGAATGGCCGTGTTTGGCATAGCAACTGTCATAGTGTGTCCGCCATTTGTGATCGACAACCTCATTCGATGCTCAGAGAAACCAGTGGCTGGATTAATTGCCCAATCAGCACTCGAACCCCATTTGGAAGTATTCTACAAAACGTTCCCTTTTATGACACTGAGCGAAAGATGTTTTCTCTTCTGCGAACCCAGTTACTTCGACAGAATGTGGACACTACATGAAATGGCGATAGGTCACACTCTTTACTACTGGTGGCAGTACCTTCTTGGCCCCTTTTCAAAATTCATTTCGACTAACGGTAACCAGAGCCTAACCTTCAGAATCGACAGCATGTGGAATAATATCTACCGAGCAGGGCTAGACCAGTCTAGTTCCCGCACTTCTATGTCTCGAAGCATGGCGCTGTACATGCTCCGACAAATCGGACCCGGTGACGGGATGACAACGATGTTTGATGTGAACTTCGCAACCATGCAAACGGGTTTCGCAATGGATTGGGAAATTTTGGCTACTTCTATTTTTAAACTGGACCCGAATAGAGACGTGAGTGAACAGATACTGCATAAGAAGATGTCAGCATACCAGACATGTCTGCTCCAATATAGCCCACCAGGGTCGAAATACAGTCACGCTTGGTTCAAAAACCCAGAGGTAAGGAAATAACGCTTATTCCAACTTTAAACTGAGCAAGACAAGCAGATAGAAGCTATCAAATCATTTGACTCACACTTATAGTTTGATTTTAACGTTTTTCCATTACTCAAATTAAAGTTTTCAAGAAACTTGTATTAATATTAAAACTGTTTCAGCACGTGAACCACAATTTCAAGTTCAATGACAAGTGGGAATTGATAGCGGGATGTGTTGAGAACCCTTCCAACTTCAACCCAAAATCACTGAAGTTCAAAGCAGTTAGCGGAGGCGACGCTACACTTGGAGGCGAGACTGTACTGAAAAAGTGCAGCGTCTATTCCGTTAAAGAAATAAGTCACGACGGACTTTTTCTTCCACTGGGCCTGAATTTGTACCATATGATAGGTCCCAGGAAAACTGATCTTGAAAAAGAGTTATCCAGTGGGTATCTAATCACAGGCGAGTGGTCTCTGCCTTCAAAACTGGTCGAACTGAGGAAAGAGGCAATCAAAAAGATCAAAGAAGAAAGGCCAGCGCAGCCAGATGCAAACATGTTGAAATCGCATCAGACGGTTTTTGATTATCTGACTCCGAAACAGGATGTGATGATGATCAAGTCTGCAAATCCGAAGTACGACTTCATGCTCGTGTTCGGAGTGATTCCCGTTCAAATGACTAGCTTCAGTGTAGCATATCCAGGACACGATAAGACGGCGGGCAACAAGAAAATCAAACAAGTCGAATTTATGATGAATTAGGTTTATATGAGAGTTAGTAAACCAATATCACTATCGTAAAAATTGCACTTTCACCTTGTATATGAATCGAAATCTTTTTATTTTCCTTGTTCCGACCAACCCCTCCCAGAGAGTGGGAAAGAAACAAAGCCGAGGATGGTTTTACCGCTAATTTAGGCACCTCTACACTAGATCATTGAGTGTAGTGATGTGTGGCATCATTTTCTTGAAAGGTTTCTCTTTGTGTCAGAAAATTTGGCTGGACCATTTTTTCCACCTATTCTACTATGATTAACTCAAGGACACTGAAACAAAACTGTACAGAGGCGAAGACGAGCTTCGCAACATGTGCGACATTAAAATGAAAACTATGCCATTGATTAAACTCAAAAGAAAAAGAAAATCAAAAGCTAAAAAAAAACTTTCAAAAATCGTTTTTGTCAAATTTTTTAGAATAAAACTGCAAAAAAAACCAAAAAAAAGGTAACAAAACTATCTGAAGCAATAGAAAATTTACAGGGCCAACATATACAAGTTTTGAGCTGGAACTAAGCCGACAAAACTGAACAAACTCTAGTTGAAAAAAAAAACAGATCCCGGTCAGACTCGAACCATAGGTTTATGCCGTCTTAAGCAATGTGTCACCGCTACCCCAGATGGTTGATTAATTTAATGAAACTCCGTTATAGACAAAACAGTCAAGCTAAAATTGCCAAACAAATTTAAAAAATTATTAAAAAGTTTTAGACAATAAAAGGTTACATTATTTTGTCTGAAAAATTGTTTCATTTGTAGACACTAACTAATCAACTGTAAACACAGTAATTCTAGACCGAAATAGAGTTGTCAAAAGAGCAAGTTGGATGAAACTGGAGATCTTCTTAAATTGGAGATCATGTGAACAAAGCTGATTGGGTGAAAAAGTCTTGTACCCGATTGCAATACCCCTGTTTATCACAAGTGCACATACGTTTGTAGTACGTCCTGGGTCTTAAAGGGTGTCAATCATAAAGAGATAAAGAGGAACGCTTAAAAAAATTTATATCTTTTTCTTTAACTTTAAGATGGACCTTTCAAGATTTTACGCGTTCCCGGTTTTAAGTGCCAGGAAGGCTACTTTAGAATCCAGAGGTGAAATGTATTTTTGTGTAGTGCAGAAAATATTCTGTTTAACTCGCTTGACATGGAGGAGAAGTACAACAGTGCCGAATTACAACAGTGCCGAAAAAAGCGGGAAATTTTCAGAATAATTTACACGCATTTTCTAAAGAGCGGGAAATTACTGACGCTAATTATCAAAGAAAATCACACCAATTTCCGCGCCAAAATGTCTGCAACAACAAATTTTAACAATTATTTTGGCCCCAAAACGTCTAAATTGCAAATTTTCTCTCCCAAAATTTTCAAGTGCTGATCAGGATTGTAATCGATCGCTGTTTGATTTTTGATTGCCGCACTTAATATGTTGAAATTTGTTCAAATTTTCGGCACTATTGAACAAAGTTCTCATTTTCGGCACTGTTTTACTTCGGCACTGTTGTACTGCCCCGATATGGAACGTATTGAATTTATAGTACTTCCCGGTTGAACTCACTCGCGCTTGTGACTGTTTGTTTAATCAAGTATGCGAATTTCGTTCTGTTCGGAATGGAAGAAATTCAAAGGATAATACTTAAAAAGATATTACATGCATAGAAATCAAAAACAACAAGACTGCTCGTATCAGGGCGAAGCCCTGAATGTTCCGACTGCCTTTTAAGAATTATGGAGCAGCAGTAATAACATAAAAAATTAAATGAAATAAAATAAAATGAATTTTTTTTTTCTAAAATTTGAAATGTTTTATGAAAACCATCCCCCCACACGCCATATAAAGTACAAAAAGATAGATTTCGTTCCTTGTAACAAATCAATTATGGCAAATTAGCTTCGTTCAATCAATTTGGAACGATTTATAAGACGGATTAAATCTCCTTTTACGCGTAAATAGCGCGAATTATATCGCGCGTTAATTGTCCCAAATTGGTCAAAATGGCCAAAATGGCAGTCTTTAAACCATCATAACTTTACAAAAAATGATCACAGGTGAAATATCTTTTCAAATTTGAGCTCAGGACATCAATAACTTTCGAATGATATAAAAAAATTCCGTCAAAAATGGCCAGTTAAAAAGTCGAAATTTGTCTGAAGAAAAAAAAAACCCACCCCGAGCACAAATATTCCGTTACTTTCGTATCGAAAGTCGGAACAACAAGACTGCTCGTATCAAGGCGAAGCCCTGAATGTTCCGACTGCCTTTTAAAGTTTATGGAGCAGAAATAACATTAAAAAATTCAATGAAATAAAACAAAATGAAAATTTTTTCTTCGAAAACTTGAAATTTTTTATGAAAATCATCCCCCCACACGCCATAGAAAGTACAAAAGGATAGATTTCGCTCCTTGTAACAAACCATTTATGGCAAATAAGCTTCTTTTAAACAATTTGGAACGATTTCTAAGACGGATTAACTCTCCGCTTACGCGTTAATAGCGCGAAATATATCCTAAATTGGCCAAAATGGCAATCTTTAAACACCGTAACTTTACGAAAAATGATCACAGGTGAAATATCTTTTCAAATTTGAGCTCAAGGCAACAATATCTTTTGAATGATATAAAAATATTCCGTCAAAAATGGCCAGTTAAAAAGTCGAAATTTGTCTGAAGAAAAAAAAAACCCACCCCGAGCACAAATATTCCGTTACTTTCGTATCGAAAGTCGGAACAACAAGACTGCTCGTATCAAGGCGAAGCCCTGAATGTTCCGACTGCCTTTTAAAGTTTATGGAGCAGAAATAACATTAAAAAATTCAATGAAATAAAACAAAATGAAAATTTTTTCTTCGAAAACTTGAAATTTTTTATGAAAATCATCCCCCCACACGCCATAGAAAGTACAAAAGGATAGATTTCGCTCCTTGTAACAAACCATTTATGGCAAATAAGCTTCTTTTAAACAATTTGGAACGATTTCTAAGACGGATTAACTCTCCGCTTACGCGTTAATAGCGCGAAATATATCCTAAATTGGCCAAAATGGCAATCTTTAAACACCGTAACTTTACGAAAAATGATCACAGGTGAAATATCTTTTCAAATTTGAGCTCAAGGCAACAATATCTTTTGAATGATATAAAAATATTCCGTCAAAAATGGCTAGTTAAAAAGTCGCAATTTGTCTGAAGAAAAAAAAACCCACCCCGAGTACAAATATTCCATTACTTTCGTATCGAAAGTCGGAACAAAAAGTACGTTGAATGTAACCAGGCAGTGTTAGAAGAATAACAAATTTATCGAAGAACTAATTAACTTATTGAAATTAAGAAGAAGTTTGCCTATTGAAGACTTCAAAAGTCATAATTCAACGTCAACTTCTTTCTACTGACGCAGATCAAAAACAAAAACTTTTAAAATCATCATAAACTTTGATATGTTGTTCCAGGTGTCAGAACATAAACCAGAAACAATATAGTTCAAAAAAGTTATTACTTGATTAATTTACTTAATTAAAGAACACGCAGAGCAATCAGAAACACTCATGCTTATTGAAGTGAGGTGGTTGTATATAGATAATAAAAAATAGTAAATTTATCGAAAAATAAATTAAGTAAATTGGGTTTAATGGAAAGTTGGCCAACTGAGGTTTTGATAGTGAGAATTTGATGAATTTGCAGCAATTACGGTCATCCAATGAATTATCTCGCGGAGTGGAAGAAAATTTAGAAATAATGCAAGGTGACTTGCCTGTCAATTGCTAACCAAAACATAAATTCAATTAATCGTTCGAGTTCGACACCGTAATGATTAGAAATGGAGAAGCAAAAAAAAGTTCATTTAACTTTTGAATTACCAAAAACTGATGGTGGTTTAATCAAATATGAGTCACCAAAATGTAGACAACAGCAGCTTGTATCTCCGAGGCTACTTTCATTTCCACTGGCCTGGAAGTCAAGAATTGTTGCAAGCAAAAAAAGGGACTAGAGAAACCAACTGCGGAAAACAATTAATGAAATCTATATCACTTTGGAAACAAAAGCGTATTAAGAGAACTCCGACAGTAGAAGATAATTTAAGCTGCAAGTTCTCGATGTTTTTTCCTCTTACGAAGGATATACAGTTTGGTGTTCCTACCAGGCACAAAACTTATGGTTGTCTCAATGGTGTAGACAATTCAATCCTAAACAAATATTCGAATGAATCTACAAAAGTACAACTAAACGATATTTAACACGTTTTGAGGCTGGTTGTATTTATGTATTTGGGAGGATTTGGCTGCAAGTAAACGCAACGATAAAAAAAGCGCTAAATTGTTTTTTATTTTAAAAGAAATCAATCAAAGTTTTGAGTTAAGAAACTAGGAAAACGAAAACTATGTTTTGCGCAGCGTGGAAAGTTCAAATCACTCATTCTTACATTTAAAGAAAATCGTTTTAAGAAATCCGAAAACTGTTTTCTTCGCAAATAGCTTTTCAACAAACATCTAGACCTAAAAGTAAATGATTGAGTTAATGTTGGCTGTCCAAAAAGACAAAACTTGAATTTGATAAAAGGAGAGGATTCTCATGCTTGAAGGACCGAATGCTTGAAAACTTTCAACCAATCAAAATGGCTAAGCGTTCCTATTGGTTAAATGCCTTTCTCACAAAATTGAAGTCAATATTAACAGAAAGTGTTTTAAATCAGTGGAAAATAAACAAAAAAATTATAAATTGCTGGTTACAACCGCAATACTATTCAGATAAACATCAAGATCTATGAGTTCAAGTTCATAAGAATTTTTCAGTCTTAAAATTTTATCTGCTTATTATCTAATCGGTCAGTCTTAAGTCTAATAACCTGGATTTATTTTCTTACTTGGAGATTTTCACGATTTATTTTGAGATTTTGAATACTCAATTCTTATTGGCTGAAAGTAAGCTTAAATACTTTTCAAGCATTCGGTCCTTCAAGCATGAGGGACGCCACCTTGATAAAACTTAAGTTGAAACAATA